GAGGGCTGGGGGCGGCCGGGGGGCGGCCTGCGAGGCCTCGGCGCCTGTCACTCCGGTGCTGCGGGCGCCGGCACTGAGTGCGAGCTCGCTCCTCCTGCCTTGGCGGAGCTGGACGCGCTTCACACCTGCACCTGCCCCCCCGCCCGCTCCTCCCATTTTAACTGTCCCCAGATCGTCTTCTCCAGCTGCCACAGCGTTTCTGAACCAGGGCCCCTTCCCAAAGTGGCCCCTAGACCTCCTCTCCTCTGAGAGGTTCGCAGCGGTCTCTTCAGAGTCTTCACTGTTTTATTGTTCTGCAAACTGGAACTTGATTACTAACGAGTGGTCCCCAAATATCAGTAGGTGGACTGGTGTATCACAACCACCCGAGGGGCCCAACCCCGGATACTCTGATTAAGTCGGGGACAGGGCCAAAGAGTCTGCATCAAGAATGCTCCTAATTCCTTGATCCTTGGCCAGTTCTGGATTCTTGGCTTTTGTCTCTTAATATTACCTAATATTCAATCCTGAATAGACACCAAATCTCTCTGGACTCCTCCAGCCCCAAAATTCTTAAGGTCTCCCTTTACGGGTTATGGTTTTTTCTCAGAACCTCACATCTTGGAGATCTTTTTTTGAAATGGATCTACTTGCTAAATTCCATGTTGCACACTGAAGACTTCACACTCAAGTCATGTTAAAGCATACCCCGACAGACAGACAAGGATAGGCTCACTGTGGCTAACAGAGACACTCTGAAACTACCAAACAGAACCAAGCTGCCACAGCAGAATGAGGGCTTAGACAGGTATTCCCACTCTTACAAAATATGTATGTTGTTAACTATCATGGAGTCTTCTTTCTTGTAACAAAGCAGAAACCAGCTCCTGGAAGATGTCAAATCAGCTACAGCAGGAAAATATCCACGCTGACCTTCCACAGTCCAGCTGGCCCGCCACCAACCCCCTCATTCTTTGGTGCCCACTGCAGCTATGACTAGACAGACAATTGGCTTCACAGACAGTTCTCTCCCGGTAAGTGCTGCAACCTCCAAATGCTTCAGCTGGCTCACTGAGTCTGCACACAAAAAGAATCTTCTATGCCCTATAGTTACCTTTGACATCAGGAGCCAAATTTCACCTCATTTTAATACTAAGTCTCTATGCCAAAGTGAATATGGGAGATATGTTACATGCATGTTTATCCACTGCACACATGTATGACTTCCCTCATAAATATTCACAGAATTCCTTTAAATCTGCTGAATATGTATGTAAAGCTGACCCTGCAAGACATAAATACCATTTTCTCCCTCCCTTCATCAGAACGTGCACTTTTGGTTTTCCCCAGAGGTCACATTTCCCCAGTCTGCAGGTTGCCTCTTTTTTTCTGCAAATAAAGTTTCTCTTTTCTTCCTTTGTAGATCTCATGGTCTCTCTTGTTAAAAGTCACAAGAATGAAAAGTAGAACACTTATGAAGAGAAGTATAGACCTGAATTTAGGGCTTTAAGTACATCATTACGACTGATACCCTACCTTCTGTGCAAAGATATGGGACTCCATGTGCCCTTTTGTCTGTAATAGGAAACCTGTCTCCCAGGAGTTAAGCCCACATAAAGCTTATGACTGCTGAGCTGCCCCATGCCCTCCTGAAACAGGCTGTTGGTTGACCTCTGACCCCATAGGACTGTCTTCCTCCCCCCATCCCCCTTCTCCTGCCCTCCTAACTTCTAAGTGATGTATAAATTAGAAGACAGCATCCACTGTTTTCTGGATGAAAGGTGACTTTCCAGTTGATATGCAATAGAGTGGCTTTCTCTGGGCTACCGTTCATCACTTACCCTTTCTAGCAACATGTACAAATGACTAAGATATAGAGTCCATGAACTGGGAGGATAGGGGCTTTCCATCCTTCCTGAGGAGCTCGCTGCCCAAGCTACACAGCTGCCTAGCTCCCAGCAAAGAACAATGTTATGATTCCAAGATCACAGAAAAAGCACGACTTAAATTTAAACAAAAGAACAGAGAACTTGAGAGTCTGAGGATCTGGAGTTCAAACCTCAGCTCTGCCGATTATGAATTTGGACACGGCACTTTACCTCCCCGAGTGTCAATGCCCCTCATCTGAATGTGAGTCATTTAAGATACTATCTGGCCCACAGCATGTACTCAGGAAATTTTTATTCCTTTGTTATCACTTCCTTTCCTGGTAGCCAAGTGATTCAGGTGAACTCGTGTTCATTCATCCTCCCCATCTTTCTAACTGAATTACCAAAAAAAATCTGTTTTGACTTTAATGCTTGCTGTACTTAAAGCAATATTGGTCTAAGGCCGGCCCGTGGTTCACTCGGGAGAGTGTGGTGCTGATAACACCAAGGCCACAGGTTCAGATCCCATATAGGGATGGCCGGTTTGCTCACTGGCTGAGCGTGGTGTTGACAACACCAAGCCAAGGGTTAAGATCCCCTTACCGGTCATCTTTTTTTTTAAAAAAAAAAAAGCAATATTGGTCTATATAGACAATTTGTGGGTCCTTAGCCTTAATGTTCTACATCACATGTTCTGGTTTTTTACTATGAAAAGCTCATGGCCCGAATCAGTAAATTATTTTGACCATGTAATAGTGAAGCTTATTTGTTTTCCAGATATCCTCTAAGAACTCCAAGGGCAAATATCCCTCACTGCCTTTTGCAGTTTGCCTAATGGCCCTTTTTGGTTAACAGATGAGCACCCTACTTGAATGGCTGCATTTCGGAAGGTGAGGGAAGGGATGCCAAGCCCTGGCACTGAGCACTCAGCTTCTAAATGCAAATCGAATTCCCAGTCAAATTTCAACAAACTGTGAGGACAGACTCTAAGTAACCTAACATACAACATCTAACCCTGAATCAAGAAGCTATTCCATAGCTAGAAATAGAAAACAAAACAAGGGGATGAGAAAAAAAAATTGTTCAGAAAACCTCATGTTTATTTAATTCTCTTCTCTTAAAGTCTCACCTGATCTCCCTCTTCCTATGAGTCTTGAAAAGAAGAAAAAAAACTATCTTAGATGTTGTAAGTCTGAGATACTTATTTTTGAGATGAGCAAATTACCTACATTGAAGTACATCTGTTACCATTTTTCTCCTCTTCATATACCCTTTTTAACTTTTCTATTGCTACTATAACAGCTCCTGAGGAAGTGAGGCCCTTGGTCCAAGAGCCCACAAGGAACTGAATCGTGCCAACAACCCCTCGAGAGAGCTTGGCCTCAGACCCACACCCTGTGGAACCTGGAGATACTGCAGCCTCGGGAGAGCCCCTGAGCCAGAGTGCCCAGCTAAGCATAAGCCACACCTAGATTTATTTATTTATTTTTTTGATGGCTGGCCAGTATGGAGATCCAAACTCATGATCTTAGTGTTATAAGGCTGTGTTCTAACCAACTGGGATAACCTGCCAGCCCCACACCCAGATTTCTGACCTGCAAAAACTACAAGGTGATAAATGTTGTTTTAAGCCACTAAGTTATGCGGTTTGTACACAGTGATAGATAACTAATACGTGCCACAAAAGGCATGACTGACTCCACTGGCTTTAAGGAAAGGCCCAGCAGTGCTGGCACCGGCTCAGGAAGGCACCTGCTCTGTGTCTGTGCCCCTCTCTTGACCCTGTGGTGTAAGTAAACGTGCACTTGGCACAAGCACCTGTGTGCTTGGCTGCCACGTCCTGTCCCAGCTGTCTGAAGCCTCCCCAACCCCTTAAGACTTAGGAAGTAAAAAATAACATCACCACCCCTCTGGAAAAAACTGCACCAAAGGAATCTATTCAACTAAACCATACTTGCTCCCTAAGAGAAATAAGGAACTTTATCCTAGAGAAGGAAAGAATGGAAGAATCTAGTGCGCTGGTCACAGTAGGACTTTTGGGGAACAGAAGGGCTTGACTTGGTACTCACTGTCTACAGCAGTGGTCTCCAAGATGAGCAAGACAATCCACTGCGTAGAGGGATAAAATGTGGTTTTTACCTAAAAAAAAATAAGCTAAGCTTTACTAATATCCACTCTACAGGCTAACTCCAGGATGCCGGTAGTCTGTGTTGGCCGGTCACACGTCAGGTCAACTCTGAGAGGACAGTCTGTGAGTGAGCCCAGCACAGAGGGGCAGCAGCAGCCACCGCCCCTTAGTTCACTGTGGCATGTCGCTGTGTGCTGCAGAGTTCAAGCCCTTGGTGAAGAGGTCGTACAGATGGTATTAACTATATATTAACCAAAACTAACCCTCACAAATGGACAGGGGCTGAACATGGCTGCAAAGAATCTGCAGTCTGCCCACTAACGTGCAAGCGCAAGGGAACCATAAGAAAATGGCAGAGCTCATTCTGCTCCTGTCCCTTCTATGCCAGCACATTAATCACTACTTTGTTTTGTAAAATTTAAAAAGAAGTTGGAGAAAAATATTAAAAATTCCTAAGAAGATGATTGGAAGTACAGTGAAATTTGCCCTAAGTGTCTGTATATTGTGGCTTGAGAGATTTGCTAACAGTGGTAGCACCTGTATAAAAGTTATAAATAAATCATGTGTGTATTTTCAACTTTTTATGAATAAAGGTACATCGTTTTTTAAAATCGGAAACCAGGGGTCTATAGAGTTTTATGGTACTTTCTAATGTAAATATCAGAGTCTGGGAACTATCAGCAGGACCCACCTGACCAAGGAGTATACAAGGTTAAGAAAAGAGAAAAACAGGAAAACAAATACCTAAGTTTATTTGTCCTCCTCTGCAGAACATTTTCCCTAAAATAAGAGTATTCCTGGTACNAACGTGCACTTGGCACAAGCACCTGTGTGCTTGGCTGCCACGTCCTGTCCCAGCTGTCTGAAGCCTCCCCAACCCCTTAAGACTTAGGAAGTAAAAAATAACATCACCACCCCTCTGGAAAAAACTGCACCAAAGGAATCTATTCAACTAAACCATACTTGCTCCCTAAGAGAAATAAGGAACTTTATCCTAGAGAAGGAAAGAATGGAAGAATCTAGTGCGCTGGTCACAGTAGGACTTTTGGGGAACAGAAGGGCTTGACTTGGTACTCACTGTCTACAGCAGTGGTCTCCAAGATGAGCAAGACAATCCACTGCGTAGAGGGATAAAATGTGGTTTTTACCTAAAAAAAAATAAGCTAAGCTTTACTAATATCCACTCTACAGGCTAACTCCAGGATGCCGGTAGTCTGTGTTGGCCGGTCACACGTCAGGTCAACTCTGAGAGGACAGTCTGTGAGTGAGCCCAGCACAGAGGGGCAGCAGCAGCCACCGCCCCTTAGTTCACTGTGGCATGTCGCTGTGTGCTGCAGAGTTCAAGCCCTTGGTGAAGAGGTCGTACAGATGGTATTAACTATATATTAACCAAAACTAACCCTCACAAATGGACAGGGGCTGAACATGGCTGCAAAGAATCTGCAGTCTGCCCACTAACGTGCAAGCGCAAGGGAACCATAAGAAAATGGCAGAGCTCATTCTGCTCCTGTCCCTTCTATGCCAGCACATTAATCACTACTTTGTTTTGTAAAATTTAAAAAGAAGTTGGAGAAAAATATTAAAAATTCCTAAGAAGATGATTGGAAGTACAGTGAAATTTGCCCTAAGTGTCTGTATATTGTGGCTTGAGAGATTTGCTAACAGTGGTAGCACCTGTATAAAAGTTATAAATAAATCATGTGTGTATTTTCAACTTTTTATGAATAAAGGTACATCGTTTTTTAAAATCGTGGTTAATTAAAAGTTGAGAATCAAGAACAGAAAGAAGATTTTTTCCAAGACTCTGACTTATCTTTTCCACAATACCCAGGACCTCAGTGTCCAGAAAGATAAGGGTGTGGTTCAGCTTGGAGGGGTGAGGTACATACCACATCCAGATCCCCTTGGTTTCAGACCTCATGCTGGGGTCCAGACAGAAGCCTGCAAAAGAAGAGGAGAAATCAACATACAGTGACATCAGAAAGGACAGGCAGCCCAGGGTACAAATTTGGTGGTAGGAACTGGAAATTTTCTTCATTGGGAGGAGCTCTTTTTTACAATGACCATAGAGTAAGTATGAACAGCCTGCATCATCACTAGCTTCAAGCAAGTGGCCCCTGTCCTCTAACCACACTTACCATATTTCTGTTCTGCAAGACAATTCATCAGGTAGGGTTTTGCTGTCCAATACATCTCTGCAATGGTCACCACCACCACAGACTGAGATATCTTGTCAACAATCTTTAGTGCTTTTAGATTCACCATCAGTTGCTGTTTCTGGTTTTCCACCATGCAAATTGGAGTCATCGTGATGAGTCCAAATGCCATGGTAACTTGTAACCCAAAAGAGCCTCTCGGTGGAATACAAGATTCCAAAGTCATCTCTAATGGTTATTCAAGGTCTGAGCACAATAATTTGGCACAATGGAGAAAGAACTTTACCTCTGGTAATACTGATGATAATAACAGGGTATAACTTGTTTCCAATGTCTCATTCCCCCCAAAATAATATTCCAATTAATGAATCCCTCTCTATATTGATGCCTGGTGCAGATTTTTCGTGTACATTACCTTATTGATCCTTAAGAGAACCATACTGTGAAAATTTTTTTATTAATAGATGAAGTAAACACAATGTAGTTATAAACTGGGTGATTGGTTAGAGTTTTCACAGGCAATGGTAGAAGCAAGAATTGAACAGTACCGGGGCCTTGGTGTTATCAGCACCGCACTCTACCGAGTGAGCCACGGGCCGGCCCAAGGTACATCGTTTTTTAAAATTGGAAACCAGGGGTCTATAGAGTTTTATGGTACTTTCTAATGTAAATATCAGAGTCTGGGAACTATCAGCAGGACCCACCTGACCAAGGAGTATACAAGGTTAAGAAAAGAGAAAAACAGGAAAACAAATACCTAAGTTTATTTGTCCTCCTCTGCAGAACATTTTCCCTAAAATAAGAGTATTCCTGGTACCAGGCCCAGCTTCCACAACTGAACGGACAGGACTCTTCCCTCCCTTTACTCCCCAAATAACCCAAAGCTTTTCAAACAGACCCAGAAACCAAATCACAGTGAAAGCAATGGTGTACCCGCCACACATCCCGATTCTAAGATGTTCCAGCTGCCATAGGAGAGACTCTTGGGAGTGGCCTTCAGCATTTCCACGAAGGTCCGCCACATGTCCACTGCCATCGTCAGGGGGAGGACACTGGACCTTTAAGAAGGAAGGGCTTTGCTGCCTCCAGGATGTCCAGTTTGGGGTCCAACGAGCGGCCAAGCCCCTCTAACACCATGATGGCGAACACAATAGAGGCAAAGTTGCTCTCGAGCTTCACCTGAAACAAAAACAGCAGTTGATACAGAGACAAACATCCTGGTAATCATGTTCTGTCCATGCCTGGCCTCTCTGTACCTGTGCATGTGGTTTTTACCATCTACCCAATATGCTTTTCCCTACCCCATCATTTCCCCCATCTCATCTCCCCACCCAACTACCCATCTACTAGATATATTAGGGAAAAATCTGGGGATGCAATACATACTTTTCTAGGGGTGGGTGTATATGAATGACTTAAAAATAATCAAATGAATATTTCACAGACACAGCAGAACTATAAATCTAAATAAGGCTCATTCTTCAAAATCTACAGTAGCCGTCTTAAGGGACCACACACAACTGGCTTTGCTCAAACAGGGCAAAACGTCCCCTTTGGAGCCAGGTTAATAGCAAGAGCAATGTACATGGATTACTCAATTAATCTTCAAAAATACTTTCATTATCCCCATCCTATAGCAAAGGAAGCTATGGCTCAGGGAGGGTAAATGACTTGCTCAAGGCCACTGGGTGAGGAAGAATAGAGCCAAGATGTAAGCCTAGAACAGGAATCTGTTTTTCAAGAACTGAAAGTCAGACAATGGAAGGTTGACTTGACTCACAGGGAAATAATCTTTGCTAGAAATTAAAGATTATTTGTCTCAGTTAAGGCCTGATCCAGGAGAAAGCAGCATGCTCCTGTTAGTGGCTTGGGCAGTGCCAGCCTGGACATGAGAGGGTGGGCAGAGGGCTCTTAGCCACACAGGCTTTGATCAGGGTGGGGATCTGGGGCTTCAGCACTACTGGGAATACTTTCAATCTTAAATGAGTGGTGAGTTCTTCAGTGTGTACTGTATTATTTTCCTTCTATGTTATTGTTAAATACTTTATTAAAAAAATTAAGTGCCACCTGAATAGACATTTCTCCAAAGAAGATATACAAACGGCCAAGAAGCACATGAAAAGATGCTCAATATCACTAATCAGTAGAGAAGTGCAATCAAAACCACCAGGAAGTATCACCTCACACTTGTTGGGATGGCCACTCCAAAGAAAAGAAAGAAAAGAAAGCAAGCATTGGTGAGGATTTGAAGACATTGGAACCCTTGTGCACCACTGGAGGGTTATAAGATGGTGCAGCCAGTATGGAAAACAGTATGGAGGTTCCTCAAAAGATACCATATGATCCAGCAATCCCACTTCTAGGCATATATCCAAAAGAAGTAAAAGAATCTTGAAGAGATATTTATATACTCATCCATGTTCACTGCAGCATAATTCACAATAGCCACGAGGTGGAAGCAACCCAAATGTCCATCAATGGAGTAATGAGTAAATAAAATGTGGTATATATACATACAGTAGAATATCATTCGGTCTCAAAAAAGAAGGAAATCCTGTCACATGCTACAACATGGATGAACCTTGAGGACACTATGTTGCAAAATAAGCCAGTCACAAAAGTACAGTATAACCGTATAATTCCACTGTGTGAGCTAGCTAGAGTAGTCAAAATCATGAAAACAGAAAAGTAGAATGGTGCTTGCCAGGGGCTAGGTAGAGAAGGAAATGAGACTATGTGTACAGTAGGTACAGAGTTTCTTAATTCCACTGTGTGAGCTAGCTAGAGTAGTCAAAATCATGAAAACAGAAAAGTAGAATGGTGGTTGCCAGGGGCTAGGTAGAGAAGGAAATGAGACTAGGTGTACAGTAGGTACAGAGTTTCTCATCAGTTTTGCAAGATGAGAAAGTTCTAGAGATCTGTGACACACCACTTGGAATATGATTGACATTGATGAACTGTGTGCATTTGGAGATGATTAAGGGGGTAAATTTTATGATGTGTTTTTTACCACAACTAAAAATTTTTAAGATCTTTTGGGCTGGCCGGTTAGCGCAGTTGGTTAGAGCACAGTGTTGTAACACCAAGGTCAAGGGTTTGGGTCCCTGCACCAGCCAGCCACCCAAAAATAAATAAATAAATAACTTTTTTATGTTTCCTTTGGGGGTGGTTGGCCAGTAGTGGGGTCTGAATCCTTGACCTTGGTGGTGTTTTTAAATTAAGTGCCCAGGGAAGTGCTTAGGATACAACAGCTGCACTGGGCCTTCTCTCTGCTCTTCCATCCTGGGAATAACAGCAGCAGCAGGTGACAGGCGAGTCCGCACTGTGTGTGAGGCACCTATGTGCAGAGTGAGGGACAGAGGCGGGGGACAAAGCAGCTGGGAGGATGCAGCACCACTGCCACGGCCAAGCAGGCGGCCACAGGCAAGGTGCTCAGCCTTTTGGAATGTTGAGGGGATTAAGTTGGAGACCAGTTGGTGTTACATAGCTGAATTAGGTACCACAGGGTGCACAGAGGGTGCTCACCGCACAATGCTCTGATGACTATGGTCAGGCCTCAATCCAGCCTTCTGGGGCCCTGTGGGCTTGGAGAGGCACGCGCAGGTCACAGCTGGTGGCCCCGTCCACCTGCCCTGAGTCATGCGCTCCTAGCTCCCAAGGGGAGAGAAAGGGACTTCATGCAATGACGGAAGATTTCCCCTAATCCCAAAGCAATATTTAAGCCATTTTTTATAACGGAACTTTGCCAAAAGTTTCGGAAAACACAAAAAGTTTTACCAAAAACAAAAAATTCCACCAACAAAGCCAACCCAGTTTGAGAGACAGGGCTCCAGACTTTGGCTCTGCCGGGCACTGCTGGAAGGGCTTGGGTAGTTACGTAACCTCTTTGTGCCCCAGGCTCCTGGTGGGGACAATGCAATAGGGATCCTACCCACAGGGGGACTGTCCTGAGGCTGAAATGAGAGACTGCGTGAAAAGCATCCAGCATCTCCCAGATGGCAAGCATCCCGCTCACGCCAGCTGCATCCTCAACAGTCCTTGTCACTCATCTGACCTAAGCACAGTCCCAAGCACAGGGCTGTGGCTGAGTGTGGGAGCAGTGGACAGAGCACGAGCCTGCAAGATCTGGATACAGGGCAAGTCCTGGCTCTGCCTCTGCAGCCCCTCCCGACGGCCGACGGCCCCACTTCCCTCGCACCTTCTGTAGGACGAGGGTGCCAGAGCAGGCCACAGGCCTCTTTCTGGCTCTTAATTCTGTCTCATGAGCCTTGCCAAATGGGGCCTTTTCCATGTAGTGTTCCACTATCAGACTGCAGAGCCCCAAGAGAAATGTGGTGATGGAATTTGGATGTGTTGTCCCCTCCAAAACTAATGGAAATTTGATCCCCAATGTGGTAGTGTTGGAAAGTGATTGAGTCATGGGGGCGGATCCCTCATGAATGTATTAATGCTCTCCATGGGGGTGGGGGGATTAATAAGTGAGTTCTTGTTCTATTAGTTCCCGTGAGAGCCTGTTGTTTAAAAGGCCCTGGCACCTCCCATCTTTCTCTCTTGCTTCCTGTTACCAGGATCTGCTTGTACCCGCCGGCTGCCTGCCACTTTCCGCCATGACTAGAAGCAGCTTGAGGGCCGTGCCAGATGCAGCTGTCCCAGAATTGTGAGCCAAATACACCTCTGTTCTTTATAAATTACCCAGTCTCAGGTATTTCTGTTAGAGCAACACAAAACAGACTAAAACACGTGGGAAACACATCCCTCCTCCGCCCTCCATGCCTTCCCCACAGCTGGCAGCTTTAGCTTGAGGAGCGCCCCGAGGCCACACTCCAGCACAAGGACACATGTGGGGCATGGGCTTCAGTGACTGGAGCAGCCAGGACAGTCTGCCAGGGCCTCTGAAGGAGCAGGAAAGATGCAGCGACCCCCCCTGCAGCCCCAGCCCCAGGACTGCAGCCTGCTCGCGAAAGGGCTAAGGATACCATGTGTCAACGCCAAGCACCCACACCGAGCACCAGTAACAGGAGCCAGGGAGCCAAGGGTGAAGGGCAAGAAAAGCCAGGTCAGAGCACTTTCACATTTCTGCTCAGACTGCATGGACGTGACAGACCCGGAGGGACTGTGTTAGGAAGGCAGGGCCCTGCCAGGCCAACGTCAGGAGACAACACCTGCACTCTTCAGGCAAACAGCTTGTTACAAAAATGCTTCCATAACATATCAGGCATACCTCCACCACCCCAGGCCCCTGCCCCACCTCCCCAGACACTCCCCTCTGACTGGGACCTCACCTTGTGAGTCATCAGTAACTTGAAGACACTGGAGAGAAGGCTGGAGACGTGAAGCTGGAAAACACAAGAGCACCGCAGGCAGATCACCAGGGCCCCCAGGACCGCTTCCTCCCTTCCAGGACCCAGTCCCGCCCCCTTTCCCAGCACCCACCCCACTCACATATCCCTGCCCCCCACACACACACCAGACAGCAGGAACGGGATGCTCTGACAAACTCCAGAACAGAGGACACCACACAAGCCCCACTCCCATCTGGAGACTCAGTTCCCAGACACCTCCAGGACAAGCCCTTGTGGCCGTCCACCCCATCCCTTGAGCGCACACACATCACATCTGAATAGACAAGATGAGCCATGCCAGGTGCTGATGGCCACTCCTTGTTCTGACCTGCTCCTGCTAATGCAGGCCATGAACTTGGGGAGAAAACAGTCAAGTCTGCTGGAACTGTGTATAAAATACAAAGTGGACTCTGAGTCAGGTCTAAATAAGGGACATGAGCATGGGGCATGTCCTTTGGCTGCTTGGAGACCACGGTCGTCCCTCCCTCCCTCCATGTTTGGCTGTCTCCACAGAACAGCTCCACCTGGGTAGGGAGGGGTCGTGGCCCAGTGAATGTCACTGCCACCTAGAAACCTGGCCCTGGAGTCACTCTTGCAAGCCAGGGATTTCAATGGGCCTCCTCATGCCTGGAAGATGTCAGGGGAGGAAAATATTTGTTATTTGCCTTAAAGCCCACAACCCCTTGAGACCTCACCCATACAGAGGCTGCCTCAGGCCTGGGATCTGCTGTGACCACCTCAAGGCCCCCGCCCCTCACGTGACCTGCCCACCTTTTCCAGAGTGATGGTGTTCTTCCTGGCCTGAGCCACCAGTGTTGCCATCTCGGCCTTGAACCCCTCAACATCCCTGCACTCGCTGGCCCGGGCATGACGCAGGATGAGCTCAGCCACTCTCTGGCCCTGGAAGATGCAAAGGAAAAGCAGCTTGGCGGACCCGAGCAAGCGTGAAGCTAGACATTCTTCCCAAACTTCTGTCACTTCTCAGTGGCTGCCCACCTCAGTTTTCTACCACCCTGCTTCTGACCACCCGTCCTTCTTAAATTCTAGCCTTCATGATAGCGAGTAACCAGCCAATGTCCTTCAAAGTGTCTGTGGTCAGTGGGCCCTACCTGTGCTCAGCACATCCTCGCAAGGACCTACGTGGTCTCCTTGGGGCTCTCTGCCTGCCCTGAGTATCATAGCCGCCTCCCAGCTGTCCCACCTCGGTGCCCATCCTGCCTCCTCCATACTCCCCGCTAAGGACTCCCGCCTCCACGGTCTCCTGGAACAGTCAGCCTGTCCCTGGGGGTCAATGCTCATGCCTTTCACCCCCCATGTCCCACCTCGGTGCCCATCCTGCCTCCTCCATACTCCCCGCTAAGGACTCCCGCCTCCACAGTCTCCTGGAACAGTCAGCCTGTCCCTGGGGGTCAATGCTCATGCCTTTCACCCCCCACAGGACCACCCCAGGAACCAAGCTCTTCCTCTTTGGCTCTGACCTTCGTCCTCCACTGGAACCTGCTCAGAGGATGCCCCGCCCGCCCCCACTGCTCCTCAGTGGGGTGTCTGACCTTGGCCCCCCCAACACTTTCAAATTGGCCTTAGGCTCCAGCTTTTGCTTTTCCGCCTTGGAGGCCTCCTAAGCAGGAGCTCCCCTGAATTTTACCCTCTTTTCTTTTTTTATCCCAGCTCTTTTCCCCAGGGTCTTTCTGGCTGGAGAACTCTCCACCAGCTGGCCGAGGGTTCCTTCATGGCCACCCCTGCTATGGCACTTGCACTTGACCCAACAGGCTTTGCCGAACCCCTTTTTTCTTTTTCTCTCTTTTTTTTTTTTTTTTGTCCTTTTTGAGACCGGCCACACCACTAAGTGCTCTCTTTTTTTTTTTTTTTTTTGTCCTTTTTGAGACCGGCCACACCACTAAGTGCTGTGAGCGCACCGGTCATCCCTATCTAGGATCCAAACCCGCAGCGGGAGCGCTACTGCGCTCCCAGCACCGCACTCTCCCGAGTGCGCCACGGGCTTGGCCCTGAACCCCTGTTTTCTAAATCATAATCCACAACCACTAGAGCCCCTCAGAACCCCAGGGGAGGTGCGAAAAACTACTCATGTCCCCCACACCACCAGGAGAATCAGTACTCTTCCCGGCTGCTTCTCACCAGCCACCATCTCAGAGAAAATGGCACAGACAGGGGTCAGGAAGTTGGCGCTCCTGGCGCCCACCCAGACATCTGCTGAGCAGGCAGGGAAAGGACCACGTGATGGCACTGGAAAGGGGGCACTTCTTCCCGAGGTGGCAAGCCATTGGCTGCTCAGAGCTGGCTAAGCCCAGGCCCCTCCTCCTCCCTACCCCGCCCACTCCCGGCAGGCGGGCATCTGCAAGAGTGATGTCCAGACACAGACAGTTCTCAAGAGCCCAAAAGACCTGGCCCGACTCCCATGGTCCCAGCGGCTCTCACCTGCCCCATCACCACAGCCAGGAAAACCGCCCGGAAATTGCACAGGTCAGCAGCCTGCAGCTCGGCCACGATGCCAGCATCCAGCAGCACCAGGCGCAGTGGGCATGGGGTGGGTGCCACCAGCGTGTCACAGACATCCACCTGCTGCAGCTGTGCCCCCCGGCTCACAGAGAGCCCGTCAGCACCCTGGACCAGGATGTTCCCAGGGTGGAGGTCCGCATGCACAAAGTTATCCACAAATATCTGCAAAGAGATCAGAGCTTTTCCTCATAGTCAATCCTCCCCACCCCAGCCCAGCAAGCCACACACAGAAAAAGCTGCCAGGTGACAATATGCTCCCCATGACCTATTACAATGGTAAGGAAGTGTATGTTTTACAAAGCCTCGTTGTTTGGATGCCATTAATTCAGAATTTGTACAGGAACAAGCTAAGTCAAAGTTTTCAAGAGAAAAACTATATTCGAAGTAAAGAGCATTGAAAAAGACTATAAGGAACTACCCTGATTTGATCATTGCCCATTGCCTACATGTACTCAAATATCACATTGTCCCCCATAAATATATATAATTATTATGTGTCAATTAAGAAAAAATTACTGTTTGAGGCCGGCCCGTGGCTCACTCGGTAGAGTGCGGTGCTGATAACACCAAGGCCACGGGTTCGGATCCTATATAGGGATGGCCGGTTTGCTCACTGGCTGAGCGTGGTGCTGACAACACCAAGCCAAGGGTTGAGATCCCCTTCCCGGTCTTTTTTTTAAAAAAAAAAAAAAAAAGAAAAAATTACTTTTTGAGGCCGGCCCGTGGCTCACTCGGTAGAGTGCGGTGCTGATAACACCAAGGCCACGGGTTCGGATCCTATATAGGGATGGCCGGTTTGCTCACTGGCTGAGCGTGGTGCTGACAACACCAAGCCAAGGGTTGAGATCCCCTTCCCGGTCTTTTTTTTAAAAAAAAAAAAAAAAAGAAAAAATTACTTTTTGGCTGGCTGATACAGGGATTGAACCCTGGACCTTGGTGTTATCAGCACCACACTCTAACCAACTAAGCTGACCGGCCAGCATTAAGAAAAATTAAATTTAATAAAAAAGACTATAAGAGAACATAAAAAGTCTAAAACTAAACTGTATTTCCGAAGATCTATTTTTACTTTGAGTCAGTAAGATTCTAATTAAAAATAATTACTTATGCATTGTTTAAAGATTTTCCCCAAACCTCCATGCTCTTATAATTCATAGAACTGCATTTCTTTAAAAATGGTTCATAAATCCAACTTTCCCTCCATTACCTCCCATTGTCCACCTTGGTGAAGTCTGGCACTGAGTGACACTAACAGCCACATGCACACAGCCGCCCTTCCTCTAAGAAGAGCGGCCCAGTTCTGAGGACACACTGGCATGCAGAAATGGGTGGACGCAGAGGAAATGGCTTTGAACACACTGAGCTGAACGTAAGCCCCAGAGACTGCTGGACCAGGAAGTCCGGCGTGGCTTGTGGAACAGGAATCATCTCCAATGGAAGGTCACCTCAGTGGCCAGAGAAGCCTCCAGCAATCCTCTCACAGGGATGGGAGGAGAGACCAAAGCAGATGCATAGCAGCTACTGGTGGACTGGCTCTCAGGGACTCCTCTGGCCAACAGAATCCCGAGCACTGGTCCCCTCCTCCCTCTGGATCCAGGCCACAGACCCCGTCCCTTGTAGCGATCATGGCCACAGGCCACAGAGAAACTCCACTAGTCCAGATCGCAGCTTTGATGGAGGTTAAGGGAGGATGCTACCTGGGTGAAAATCCTGGGGTCTACACACGTGCAGGACATGGTCACCAAAGCCTGGGCTGACCCCCCAGGGAAGCTGGAGCCTCCCCCACTCTGGAACTGAACCTTCTGCAACCCTGCTGTTGCTCAGCCCTGGCCTCACACCCCCATCCTGATCCCAGAGCTTGAATCCTCTCATGACCTCTCTATTCTTGGAGCTGCTTTGAGCTGCTTCTCCCTTGGCTACCTCCCCCCATGATCTCCCCACTGGGCCACGGAGCCCCCGGGAGCCCTATTACTGGGGACAAAGTCCTCTCCCCACTGATCTGACTTAATTGAAACTGGCTGTGCCCCGACAACCTCACTCCAGGAACTGCCGGGGTGGGGACTGCTGACTCTCCACCCCCACAGGCCCTGGGGTTGCAGATGGAGCTGCCCCAAGCCCACTCTCCATGAGCATCAGGCCCACAGCCCTCCCTGTGCACGCCATCCATTTGCATGACTCCACCATCATGCTCTGAGCGCCTGGTCCTCACCTCGCCCCACCTTCACCACCCGCTGTCACAACCCCTCCAGACCACCCCACGACCTCACCTGACTCATCTGTCCATTCTCCCGCTCTCTGACCACACACCTGGGTCCTCTCTACCCCGATTCTCTGCCCTCAAGACTTGGGTACTCTTCCTCCCTATCCAGCCTAGACCTGGTTATCCATCCCTTCACCACTGTCTTCCTTCCCAACCACCAGGAAGACCAGATCACAGACAGCCTAATATCTTCTTTCTTCATGCCTACATGTGAGCTGCTAATGAGGCCAGGTGACTACTATTACTACTAATGATGATGGCCATAACTAACACAACTCAGGGCTCACTACATCCTTTTACAAATATCAACTCATTTAACCCTTGTGGAACCTTATGACAAAGGCACTTCATATAACTAACACAACTCAGGGCTCACTACATCCTTTTACAAATATCAACTCATTTAACCCTTGCGGAACCTTATGACAAAGGCACTTCATGGCCGGCCTGGTGGCGCACTGCTACAGTGCGTTGCTTGGGAGCGCGGCGGCGCTCCCACCGAGGGTTCGGATCCCACATAGACTGGCCGCTCACTGGCTGAGCGAGGTGCGGGCGCAACACCGAGGGTTGCGATCCCGTTGCCGGTCCCAGTCCGGTACGGGCACGACACTGAGGGTTGCGATCCGTTGCCGGTCACGAAAAAAGACAAAAAGGAAAAAATAAAAAATAAAAGGCACTTCAAATTTCCTTTTGAAAGAGAAGCCCAAGGACAGAGAGTAAGTAACTTGCCCCAGACACCCTTCCCTGCCCCTGGCTAGTATGTGGCAGAGCTGACACTTGAACCCAGACAAGCCCAGCTACGCACTCCAGGCTTCTAACCACCAGGCCATATAGCAGATTGGCAAAATGCCCCTCCACTGCCTCCAGCCCCAACATGGCTCGGACACCGCCTGGCAACCCATCCACATTTCCTGAGTTGCTCTTTCTCAGTCCCAGGGCAACAATTTCAAATCTTCCTGTCCACTTCCAATCTCCTCTCCTACCACCCTCAGCATCCCACCCTCATCCATGAACAACCTCGCCTCTTGTTCCACAAGGAAATAGAAGCCTTCCCATGGGAGTACCTTCAAATTCCATCCCTAAACCTGCAAGTTTCTCCGTCCCTCTAGCCCAGGGCTTCTCAACTCATTGTTGGGAAAGGCAGGCTGTCCTGTGCACTCTGGGATATTTAGCATCATCACTGACCTCTGCCCACCAGGTGCCAGTAGTGACCCTCACTCTCCAACCAGCAGCTGTAGCGACTAAGAATGTCTCCAGACACTGCCAGATGTCCCCTGGTGGACAAAACCACCCTGTTGAGAAGCACTGCTCCAAACTTCATGGAAGATAGAATCAATCCCCCACAACGAAGGCTAGGCCTCTCCTTTGCTCAGGTCCCCCTCAAGGGTCCTTGCTTGCATATACAGGACAGACAAAACCTAGCAAGGATTTTTAAGAGATGGGGAATCTTGAATGTGTTCTAATGTCCAAGAATCTAAATCTACCTTCTGACTACACTGAGATACCATCTCACCCCAGTTAGGATGGCTAAAATCCAAAAGACTCTGAACGATAAATGCTGGCGAGGTTGCGGAGAAAAAGGAACTCTCATACATTGTTGGTGGGACTGCAAAATGGTGCAGCCTCTATGGAAAATGGGGGGGAGAAGACATAACAACTACAATTCCTTGAAGTTGATACGACAAGCAAACAGAAAGGACAGGGGGGGAGAAGACATAACAACTACAATTCCTTGAAGTTGATACGACAAGCAAACAGAAAGGACAGGGGGGGAGAAGACATAACAACTACAATTCCTTGAAGTTGATACGACAAGCAAACAGAAAGGACAGGGGGGGAGAAGACATAACAACTACAATTCCTTGAAGTTGATACGACAAGCAAACAGAAAGGACAGGGGGGGAGAAGACATAACAACTACAATTCCTTGAAGTTGATACGACAAGCAAACAGAAAGGACAGGGGGGGAGAAGACATAACAACTACAATTCCTTGAAGTTGATACGACAAGCAAACAGAAAGGACAGGGGGGGAGAAGACATAACAACTACAATTCCTTGAAGTTGATACGACAAGCAAACAGAAAGGACAGGGGGGGAGAAGACATAACAACTACAATTCCTTGAAGTTGATACGACAAGCAAACAGAAAGGACATTGTTGGGTGGGAGGGGGGAGAGGGAGGAAGGAGGGAGGTTTCAGTAATGGGTCACAATAATCAACCACATTGTATATCGACAAAATAAAAATAAAAATAAATCTACCTTCTGGCTCCCCTGCGACAGCCTCCTAACCCACCTCCTTGCCTCCTGTGTTACCCTCCATCCCACACAGCAGTCATGATGATCCCCCTCATTAGGTCATTTCTCTGCTTAAAACTCTTCTAACACCTTGATCTGGGCAGTGGTATGCTTTTTAAAAATTCATTGAGCAGTAATTTTAAGATCTATGCACTTTACTGAATATTTATTGTTATAATTCAATTTTTTTTAATTAAGGGGGAAAAAACCTCGAAATGAGCTCACTTGCCCTTGGATTAAAGTCCCAACCAACTCTTTCAGAGGTTGAATAGATGCTTTGTGATCTGGCCCCTCTCATCTCCTCAGCCTCAGCAAGAACCTCTCCCCCTTTAAACTCTCTTCTGAGCTATACTAAATGCTTTCATTTCTCAAAATTTTTCACCCTGCAGCTCACCCCCAGCCTTGCCACAGGCTGTTCTCTCTGGATAACTCCCTTCCACCTGTCCTCACGTAGGTGACACCCCCAGCTGAGATGAGCCATTTGCAGAAGGAATCCCTGGGTTAGAACAGGCCCCTCCTAAATGATCCTTTGTAACCAGTTCTTACCCCTATATATCATTTACTTATTCACTGTTTGCTTTCCCACTGAACAGCAAGCAGTTCCATGAACATTGTAATCATGTCTGTTTTGCTCACCGCTATAAATCGAGCACTTAATTCAGTGCCTGGCACATAGCAGGTGCTCAATAAATACTTGCTGAACGAATGAATAAAGCAGCATTTGACATATGGTGCTGTCTTGGCTGCTTGTCTAACCTGCAGGCAACTCGGGCAGGGACTAGGTCTTGTACCCACAGAACCTGGCACAGTGACCAACTGCACATGCCACTGAGAAAGGGCTTGACAGACGCTGTGAGAATCTGAGAACTGCCGGTGGGCTCAGCTATCCTAGAGCAGACTTGCTGCGAGGCTGGCCCTCCTGCCATCCCCCCATATGCAAACTGACCACGTGCTGGCCTGAGCACCCATTCCAGTGCATGAGCTCACCATCTTCAGAAGCATGTTGATTCCCAGCCGCGCAATCTTCCTCTTCAAATCAATGGGAATTCCTGCCTGCTGGTAGCTGGACACAGGCACACTCTCCTATAAGAAAAACCAGCATTACCCTGGCCAGCCTGCCCAATGCTATGCTTCTTCCCACGTGACATGTCCCAGTGACTGGGAAATGACCCAAAGAGTTTGACCTTTCTGAGAACGCCTCATGGATCTGTCATCCACAAGTTGATTTTACCCTATTCGCATTTCTCTTGTGTAACAGACCTCGAGTCCCATAGGTTTGTTAGAAAGGAAACCCATTGCCTCTGCTGCTGATGGTAAAAGGTGTGATTTCTTGGAAAGACAGGAGCAGGCACCAATGGAGCTAGTTTCTGGTCAAGGATCAGCCAACAGGGATGCGAATGAGCCCTGTGACCTTGAGCAGAAAAATGGAAAAGAAAGGAAAGAGAAGAGAGAAGAAAGAGGAGCTAGAAAATAAGCATTTCATATGGCTTAGTTTATTTAGTGGTCAAAGCAACACATTGAGAGAGATCGTTATCCCTAATTAACAAATAAAAGAACTAGAGCCCAGAAAGTTCTAGTAACTGGCTCAAGGTCACACAGTTAGGAGCAATGGGGAGATCCTGTCACTTCCGTGTACCTCATATTACCATCTCTAAAGAGGAGGCAGGACCAGGAGACAGCTAAAGCAGATGACAATGACACAAATGCTTTTTGAGCATTTTCCCTGTGCCAAACTCTATGTTGAGTGTCATTTACCACTGGGACAACCCCGAGTAACCCCGAGGCAGAAGTTTCTAGGTCGCCAGCTAATAAAACCACCGAGCGGGTTTTCAAATCTAGGAAGTCTGAGGCCATGTCCAGGCCTCTCACCCACCCCATCACACCTCCCCGTCCCCTGCCAAAGCCTCAGGGTTTTGCAGACAGGAATGACATCCCCTCTCCAGCCTTGCAGTGGGGTGGAGATGACCCGGCTGTGAGAGAAAGGCACAGCCAGGAGAGGCTGCCAGACTCTTACTTCATATGTTTCCACCAACACATCCCTGGTGACAAAGGGGTGCAGAGGGGTGGGAAATTTGACAGATTTCACGTTCTGGAAGTTGTGCTGGAAGTGTTCCAGATTCTGAGCTTCATAACGTAGGTCGATCTACAGGGAAACAGAGAAAAGTCGAGGGCTGGCCTAGGCACAGGGACAGCTACATCTGAAGAGCTAGTGAGTCACAAGATTCACCGGCCTTCCTCCCCAACTCTTCCAACTTTCCCAACTCCCCAAGAGACTAGGGGGAAGGCATCCATGGCTAGGGGCAGCCCCAGAAGGCGGACTCTCCACATGAACTCCTCTAAGCCACAGACAGCAGAGGCCCTGGTAGCATCTCTCTTGTGTTGCTTCTCCACTATTCCTTCCCTGCCCACCACCCCCCGGTCCATCTCCCAGGGGTCTGGCTTCACTGCCATCTGGGTGTCCCGGGGTCCCCCACTCTGCCCTGGCCTGGCCCTCTCCTTCCATCAAGGTCAACATGCTGTGGCCTCTTCCACACATGGCTGGGCCCAGCCTCCAACCCGTTCTCCACCCCACTGTACTGACTCTGCCACCACTAAACTCGCCAATGGCCCTCCACTTGCCAGATTCAAAGGACAGTCCACTTTTGTCTTAGTGAACCTCTCTGGGCAGCTGCTGCTGGTACCGTCCTTCCCGAACCGCTCTTCTCCTGGCTCCTGTCCTCACCCTCTCTGGCCCAGGTCCCCCTCCTGCCTCTCTAACTGTCCCATCTTGGCCTGGTACCCTGGCCCCCCAGAGGCCAATGCCCTCTTTGCTCCTGCTCTCTGCCAGCTTCCTCGGCTCTCGACACCCCCCATGCCCTCAGCTCACACCTCCTGATTCAGCACCTCGATCTCCTGGCCAGACCTCAATACCAGGTTCCACACTGACAAATTCCCATGCATCAGGACATCACCCCATGGAAGTTCAGGGACCCTAAAACACTAGGTCTAAACTGAATTTACTTTCCTCCACTCCCCAGGTATTCAGTCACCTGCCAGTCACCAGATCACACTCAGCACCATCAAGTCTACAACCCTAGCCACTCTCAGACCTGTCCCTCCCTCGCCCCCGCTACTCCAAGGTTCATGCCCTCACAAACCCCAGCAGAGGCACCCTCGATGGGCTCCCTGCCCTGACTTTCCTCTCTCCAACCTGCACAGTGAAGTCTGCGTTCTTTAGAAAGACATGCAGGTGAGTCATGCTTTGGCCCCTGCTTCTCTTCTCAGCTCCATCTCTGTGGCTCCTGCCCCTTCCTCTACCACCCAGAACTCCAGCCTCGGGTTACTCTATACAGCACTCAGCATCCCAGACTGTCTCACCCCCTCCCCTTTGCCTTCTTTACTGCCTCTGACAGGAATGTTTTTCCTCATCTGGTTCAACTGCAAACACCAGTCACCTTCCAATATTCAGCTCTAGCCAAGGAATGACCACATCCTTTCCCGAGCCCCAGTGGAACACACCTGACCCTGAAGACTCTTAGGAAACGCAGATTATGCTTTATTTGCAAGTATTATCATCCCCGTCTGCCTACTATATATTCTTTAAGGACAGGAAAAACCACTTGTTTTCTTAGTTCACCAGCTTCCAACACGGTGTTTAACAACTGTTACATGAATTTATAAATGAACAGAGAAAGAGACACACACATATACCACACCCACAACTCGAAGGTTTCCAGCTTGGGGAGGGGATGAGACTGCTGAGAGATGGACACAGGCTTAGTAGGAAGAGGTGATTTTTAAAACAACTGGGGTGAGATGTGGAGATCTGAGTTTGAAGTGGTGAAACCCCCACGATGTCGGTCACACACCTACAAGGGAACTGAAGCTCAGGTGGGTGGTAGGACCAAGAGTAATTAATGCAGAGGTGGTTGTCAGAATAGAAGCAATTTTCTCTGTTTTAATTTTCTTTTATTATCAAAACTACACTACTCCAGGGCCGGCCCGTGGCTCACTCAGGAGAGTGTGGTGCTGATAATACCAAGGCCACGGGTTCGGATCCCATATAGGGATGGCCGGTTGGCTCAATGGCTGAGCATGGTGCTGACAACAGCAAGCCAAGGGTTAAGATCCCCTTTCCGGTCATCTTTTAAAAAAAAAAAAAACTACACTACTCCAGGGCCGGCCCGTGGCTCACTCAGGAGAGGGGGGGGCTGATAATACCAAGGCCACGGGTTCGGATCCCATATAGGGATGGCCGGTTGGCTCAATGGCTGAGCATGGTGCTGACAACAGCAAGCCAAGGGTTAAGATCCCCTTTCCGGTCATCTTTTAAAAAAAAAAAAACTACACTACTCCATGGCAGAAAGCTTCTGCTATGGTCTGAAAGTTTGTGTCCCCAGCAAATGCATATGTTGAAATGTTAACCCCTACAGTGGACATAAGGAGGTGGGGCCTTTAGGAGGTTATTAGGTCATGAGGGTGGAGCCTTCATAATGGATTAGCACTCTTATAAGAGAGGCCTTAGGCCCCTCGCCTCTTCCACTATGTGAGAACACAGAAGTCTATGAATCAGAAAGTGGGCCCAGGGGGCCGGCCCGGTGGCGCACTGCTACAGTGCGCCGCTTGGAAGCGCGGCGGCGCTCCCACCGAGGGTTCGGATCCCACATACAGACCGGTTCCCGCTCACTGGCTGAGTGAGGTGCAGGCGCAACACCGACGGTTGCAATCCCGTTGCCGGTCCCGGCCCGGTACGGGCGCGACACTGAGGGTTGCGATCCATTGCTGGACACGAAAAAAGACAAAAAGGAAAAAAAAAAAAGAAAGTGGGCCCACAACAGACACTGAATCTGCCAGCACCTTGATCTTGGAATTAGCCTCCAGAATGGTGAGAAATTTCTGTTGTTATTTATAAGCTGCCCAGTTTATGGTATTTTGTTATAGCAGCCTGAATGGACTAAAAGACTTTCTAGGGCCGGCCCGTGGCTCACTCGGGAGAGTGCGGTGCTGATAACACCAAGGCCCCAGGTTCAGATCCCATATAGGGATGGCCGGTTAGCTCATTGGGTGAGCGTGGTGCTGACAACACCAAGTCAAGGGTTAAGATCCCCTTACCGGTCATCTTTAAAAAAAAATAAAAAATAAAAATAATAAAAGACTTTCTAAACATTAACATGAATGCCTGGGACTTAAAACCTTAAATCAGAGGATATAAATGAAGACTTGGCACACTGCTTCTGAAAACTTAGCCAATTCCTTCACCACCCAATAGGGAGCCAGTGCAGATGCCTATCTGGAGCCCTGACTATCCCTAAGAGTGTTTACCAAGTCTGACTACTTATGCAAATATCCCAAGGGAGGAGGTCTTTGTCTACTCAATCAGCCCTGGAAACAAAGAAAAACAAAGGCACAGTTTGCGACTTTGCTGATTATTCTTCTCACCCTGGAGTTCGTCATTAACTGTGGCTGAGCTAATGCTGTGTCTTCCACCAGAATCATTTCATTCTCCTCACAGGCCCAAAGACTGTGTTTCCCAAGTTCCCTCCCAGCTACACTGGGCCCATGTGATTAAAGCTCTGATCAGTAGACTGGGAAGAAGTGATGTTCACCACTTCCAGACCTGGCCCCCAAACCTCTCACATGATCTTCTGTGGCTTCTCTCTCCATTCCACACTGACCCTACATGACACATGTTGAAGAGGGCAAAACGAAACTGGGGAGGAAATCAGCTCCCTCTCCCTCCCTCAGTTCACCTGCACGGAACTTTGACATAATCAAGAAATAACCTTGTTGCATTAAGCCGCTGAGATCTGGGTGTTGTGTTTCATCAGCTGGCGTTACCTACCTTGACTAATACACCATCCTAGCCACATCACACTGGGAAATTACTCATTCAGCATTTACAAAGCAGCTGCTAATGGCAAGAACTATGTTAGGTGCTATTTACAGCTGGGGGGAGGAGGATTCACCTGTTGGACCATGAGCTTCTCAAATTCCTCCACGATCTCATGCAAGCTAAGCCACTTGATTCCTGGCAAAAGTTCAAGCACTCGACTGCCAATCTTCATCAGCAGCAGGTCCATATGCACCTGGGAGAGCAGGCCGGGGTGCAACACCTGCCAGACAGAGGAGCAGTGAGACGGGAGGGGTCAGGAGAACACATTTGACCCAGCCAGGGCTGGGTCCACCATCAAAGACGAAGCCAGGTGACTTCTCCTCAGAGCAAGAGAAGCAGTCCCAACACCCAGGATGCCTCTGCATGGCCGGTCCTACCCCCCAGAGCAGCAAACTCCAAACCCCCTCAGTTTCCTCTGTCAGACCATTCGCACCACCCCTCCCTCAAGCCAAGAAATAAGATATGTGTATGCTGCAGCTGACACATTACTCAGACACTGGTCGAGCAAACAGAAATGAATGGATGGCGATGAGGGGGTGATATGCATGGGGGAGGGGGGGTTCTGGCCTGACAAAGCTCAATGGGTAGGTGAGATGTGAGCTGGCTGAGGGGCTGAGGACTACAGAGCACTTACCTTCACTGCCACAGGAATGAGGTGGTCTGGCTGGGGGCGGTGGGCAGACATGCCCGCATTGGATCCAACTAGGTCAGCTTTGGGGAGGAGCAGCCTTTCTAGAAATGATTGGTCAGCAAGATTTCCTGGAGGCTTCCTCCCATTCCCAAGGTGGCCAAAGAGCTGTCTCAGCCCCCCGACTGGCCCAGCTTCTGAGGAAGGCTGCAGACGGGAGGCCTGGCCGCGGCCCGGGATGCTGTGGTTCTCCAAGAAGGCAGCGTTGGCGAATGCCTTGTACACTTGGGCCACGCAGCCTGAACCCACAGGTTCCTGGTCCTCAAAAAAGAGGACGCTCCTCCAGTCCTCCCCAAATGCCTGCCGGAGGAAGTGCTCAGTGTGAGTCCACGGGTGGGGGGTCACTTGGACGTGGAGCTTGGAGAACTGTGCACAGAAAGCCTCAGAAAAGAGATCGCGCCGGGTGCTGGCCCACTGGCCCAGTTTGATGTACGTTGGGCCTGAGGTCTCGGTGGCTTTCAGAAGCAGGTGGAGCCAAAGGCAGGAGAGGCTGGGCGCCAGGTAGGTGAGTGGGTAGAGCAGAAGGAGGGGGAAGAACTTCACCAGGAGAGCGCCGGCCCGGAGCCACGTGCGGAGAAGCAGGAGGGCGCAGCCTGGCCGCCCTGCCTGGGACACTCTCTCCACCTGCCCATTTTCGGCCAGGTCCCTCCAGCGGGCCCTTCGCTGACCCAAGCTGTCAGGGACCCCCTTCTCAATGTCCTCATGGGCTGAGATGAGTTTGGGCAAAGTGCCGAACAGAAGCCAACAGAGCCTGGCATTGCGAGAGCACCCGGAGGGTCTTAGAAGGCCGAGTTCCTTCCTGAGCTCCAGACACCTTAGGTGCGACAAGCAGACCCTGACAGAGAGGCGCCAGGGGGTCACCATCCTCCGCAGGGGCCCACGGCCTCGGCTTAAGGGGCACCCATCTGGGCCGACGCTTCGGCCAGGCTGAGACGGTTCCCCGTGAGGCCCGGCGGCGCTCGGCCCCCGCCTCCCGCCNCCCTTAAAGGGGCCGCGGCGCGAAGGCGGGAGCCGAGGGCCGGGCACCGGCAAACGTAAAGGCGTCCTCCGCGCCCTTCTCCCCACCCGCCACCCCCGAGCCCACGCGTCCGTTTCTCCGCTGACAGCTTGGTGGCTTCATTATTACAAGGAGCAGGACGCAGATCCGCTTGTCAGCGGGGGGTGGGGTCCTTGGCAGGCTGAGAGGTCCCAGGCTGCAACGATTTGGGGACTGTTTGGACCTTACAGAGTGGCCCCGGAAAGGCCATGTTCATTCATTCAACTAGTACTTACTGAGCCTGAGCCCATAAAGATTTCTTGAGCTCAGTCTAATATGTGTTGAGCCTCGGTAATAGGTGCTGGGTACTATGCTGGGCCCTGGGGAAAGGGATACGTACATCCTGTCCTTACGCGCTAATCACTTCATGAGGGGGACCTCACAGGGGGTGCAATTTCAGGGGGTGGCAAGAGCTACGAGAGAATGAATACTCGGGGTACCCATGGGATGGAGCTACATTGAAGAGGAAGGGAAGGCCAGGAAGGCTTTGGGGGAGGGAGTGTTCAGACACAAAGAATAAAGCCCTGAAACAGGAAGGAGTTTCATGTGAGGTTTGGGAGGCTGTGTGTGTGTTTAACCTTGAAGAATCAAAGGGAGGTTAGATGGCTGTGGTGACCAGGGGGAGAAAGGAGCTTGGGAATCAGCCCACACAGCCACTGAAGGGACGGGTGATGCTGCTTCTACAGCCATCTCTGCCCTTGGGATTTATGAGGCTGCCTCCCCTGGGATACCACAGTCACCTCTACACATTAACAGCCTGTATCTCCATGGGGGTGAGAGGCTTCCATGGAAGCCTGGCCAAGGGTGGGTGTGTGGGCATCACAAGTGGAAGGGGACAACGGAGAGAGAAACAAGGTGCTGGGAAAATAGAATAATCAGGCTCCCCTGCCTCAGGGCCGGTTGGGGGTGGTTCAGCGCATTCTCTGTAAACAAATTGTATGGGGGTGGAGCTGGTGCCCAAGCCTGGCACTGCGGCTTTGCTGGATTCTGCCTCCAGGCGTGGTCATGCTTTCCAACCTACGGCTTCCGGTTACCTAGCTCATAGACCTGAGTGTAAGGGGTCTGGGGACCCAGCCTGGCGTGTGAAGAGTTTGTGACCCAGTCTGTGAATGGGCTTAAGGGGTCTGTGAGCTCCAGACCCAGCCCTAGTTTGACACTCGGCCCAGTTGGTGCAGGATTACGGGCAGGTAAAAGAGCCTGAGTGCGACAATTGGCGTGGTCCTGTACCTTTACAATTGGCCCAGTTGGCAGGATTCCGACAGAGCCAGAGCACTACAATTGGCAATATCGGCAGGCCGACAGAGCCAGATCTTTGCTCAAGGACACGGTCCATGCCCATGGTCCCCACCACTGGAAGTGTGGTGGCCGCTCAGCATCCTTAAGGAGTGCCCCAAAATGTGGGATCTGGGCTACTGATGCAGACAGGGAAGGCGGATTGGCCAATGGCTCCTCCTGCTTTGTTCGCTAACAATCCATTTCCCATTTCCACAAGATGCTGCAGACCTGTTTGCAGTTCCCAGGGCAGATATTATACCTACCAACACTGGTTTGAAATGCAGCCAGCCATTAACTCTCCCCTTGCCTAACCTCTTGATTTCCTTACCCACTGTATCCCAAAGGTGTGTAGAATAGTCTTGCATATCTCTGACTCACCAAAGGGCTTACTGAGGACTTAATTTAAACCAGGGGCCCTGGGTTCTAGCCCCATAACTAGGAGGAAACAGTCTGACCTCAGGCAAGTCCGTTTCTCCTGGATCTCCATTTCTCCTTAAGCAAAAATGGAAAAGGAAGTTCACCTAAAGCTATACAAGTTCAACTAAAAGCTCTATAAGTCCTCCAGACTTGTATTTATGATCCTGGGAATTAGTATGTTGAAGAGTTAACACAAATTCTAGAACTAAATAAGCCTCCTTTCAATTCCAGTTTCAGAGGCTGGGAAATCCAGGGAACACATCTGTTGAGGTCTTCTTTGGTAGTGGCTTTACAGCAATGCAGGGGTCTCACATGGCAGAAAATGACAGAGCAGAGGTAGACTCACGTGCTCTCCTTTCAAAGCCCACAGAACCACACCCCTGACCACCATTATTAATCCATTCACTCTGGCGGCCTTACAATCTAATCAACTCTTCAAGGCCCCACCTTTCCATTACCATGATAGGATTTCCCACCTTCCACAGTTGGGATTAAGCTTCTAATATATGAACTTCAGGGAACACAATTCAATCAATCCACAGCACCAGCCAAATGAAGACAGAGGTATTTATTCAGAAATTCCTATGGCAAGGAAGAAGCAGGTGAAGCTGAAGCATTTCTGGGGCCTGTGTCAATCAGAATGATGTCATGCGTATTAAGGCACCATGGACCGTAAAAACAAACATTATGTCAAACGTGAACCATAAATCAAAATTTGTAAGGGCAGCCTTTAAAAATCACAGATGTTGGCTGACATCTGGGTAAAAAAAGCTGGGTAACTTTACACAGTCCCTTTCAGGATTAGTAATAGCAGGAATGTATATATTTAGAATGATTAATTAATGAAGAGGCTGAATATACATAGGGACAATGGCCAGAACACATATGACTATAGAAGTCTGACCCACAACCTCTTCAGCAATGGGCCCAGAAGGTCAGGACTGGGTCAATGACTGTCGGCCAATTTTCACTCCCATTTCCAACTTAGTACCAACCTGAGAAAGCCAAATATCCTCTCCAGACCAGTCACATAAGTTGCCCCTTCCTCCAGCTTCCCCCTGCCAACAACTTCCAATTAAACACACCTGAAACCTTTTCTTTTTCTTTTTTCCCCACTAGCATTTGAGTCTCCCCTTGTATTTGAGTTGCTACCAAATGCAAGTGATGGTGGCTGACTTCCTTGCCAGTTCCAGGTGTTGTTATAAGCAACTGAAACAGACTAATACTGAAAATTGGTACCAGAGAAGTGAGGTGTTACTTATAACAGATACTGGAAAATGTGGAACTGGGTAATGGGCAAAGGCTGGAAGGATTTGAAGGAGCAGGCTAGAAAAAGCCTAGCTGCTGGTGAAAGTTTAGAAGACAAGAAAACCAGGGAGAGTTTAGAATGTCTTAGAGACTGGTTAAATGGTGGTGAGCAGAATTCTGATAGAAATATGGACTGTAAAGACCATTTTAAGGAGGTCTCAGATAGAAATAAGAAGGAGTTTATTGGAAACTGGGGCAAAATCACCCCTGCTGTGAACTGGCAAGGAACTTGGCTGCATTCTCTTCATGCCCAAAAGTGTTATGGAATGTGGAACTTCAAGGTGCTGACCCAGGGTATTTGGCAGAAGAAATTTCTAAGCAGCAAACATTCAGGAAGCTGCGTGGCTACTTGTAACAGCCTACACTGAGTTACAGCAGCAAATGCATGATGTAAAGCCAGAAATTAAAAGGTAAGCAGAGCATAAAGATTTGGAAAACTTGCAGCCTGGTCATGTAGTAGAGAAGCAGAGGGCATTTGGGGGAGAAAAATGCAATGGTGCTAAGATTTGTACAAAAGAGAGGGATTATCAAGAGAAGCGGGGACAGGCTCTGAAGGCACTGCACAGATCTTGGAGGTTGCTTCTTCCACTACAGGCCCAGAGGCCGAGGGAGACCAAATGGTCTTGGGGAACAGTCCTGAGGTACCCTACACAGGCTCACTGCCCAGCACCACCTCGGGAAACTGCTTCTAGCACCAGCACCCCAGTGGCTTTGGCTGCTCCAGCTGTTGCTAAATTGGCCCCAGGTGTGGCTGGACCAGAAGCTCTGGAAAACACAAGCCGGAAGCCTTGGCAGCATCCACATGGTGTTAACCTTGCTGGCTCATAGAATGCCAGAGCTGTGGAAGCTTGGGAGCCTCCACCCCAATTTCAATGGACATATGGAAAAGCCTGGGGACCCAGGAAGAGATCCGTTGCAGTGGTGGAGTCATTGCATAGGCCCTTCACTAGAGCAATGCTGAGTGGAAACGTGGGGTTGGAGTTGCAGCCGAAAAACCTCATCAGCTCCATGCCTAGTGGAGCTGTGAGGGTGGCACCGCCATAGAGACCCCAAACCTGTGGAGCTACCAGAGTGGAACACCTGCCTGGGAGAGCTGATGTGTGGCCCAAGACCAGGAAAGCCATAGGAGCCAAGCTGACAAAGGACTTAGGGACCCAACCCCACAGCAGCGTGCAGAGGACGTTGAACATGTAGTCAAGGTGTGTGATTTGCCACTTTGAGATTTAATTCCTGCCCGGCTGGGTTTTGGACTTGTTTGGGACATTTTACCCCTTTCTTTTGGCCCATTTCTCCCTTGTTGAGTGGGAATATGTAACCTATGCTTGCCCCACCACTGAATCCTGGAAATAGATAACTTGTTTTGATTTCACAGATGGGACCCTGAACTTTGGACTTTTGAGTTGAAACAATTTAAGACTTTGGGGATGGAATGAATGTACTTACCTGTGAGAAGAACATGAACTTTGAGGGCCAGGGACAGAATGATGTGGATTGATTGAATTGTGTCCCCTAAAGTTCATATATTAGAAACTTAATCCCCACTGTAACTGCTGAGGATGGGAAATCCTATTATGGTAATTGAAAGGTGGGGCCTTGAAGAGGTGATTAGATTGTAGAACCATGTCATAGAAAATGGATTAATAATGGTGGACAGGGGTGTGGTTCTGAGGACTTTTTAAAAGGAGAGCACATGAGAGTCTCTCTCTGCTCTGTCACTTTCTGCCACGTGAGACCCCTGCATTGCTGCAAAGCCACCACCAAAGAAGACCCTCACCAGATGTGTTCCCTGGACTTTGGACTTCCCAGCCTCTGAAAACTGTAAGCAATAAATTTCCTTTTCTTACAAATCACCCAGTTCCAGGTATTGTGTTATAAGCAACAGAAACAGACTAATACAGGTGGTCATCACTGAT